GAGCTAAGGGAGGCCTCCAAGTTTGGTTACAAGATTACAACTCTGAATATGAATCTATGAGTGTGCAAAATGATACGCAATTGCATCCTCCCTATTCGCACACGCCCAAAGATCGGAGGCGAATGCCACTTCGACTTGTTTCGTCTACTAACGACTCTCTGATGACTGTGTTGGGGAAGCAGCAAGCATGTACGTAATTGGTGGATTTGTTAGTTATTTCGACACTTTTGGACAACGCTTTACATATACCACTTTCAAAATAGTTTCTTGTTGAACAGTCAGAAGTTTTGCTATCGATGCGTAGAACTATTTCTGGTCGATTGGTGATAAAATGATTGAAATTGGTCCAGGAGCAGCTGAGTTATTAACGTTCAAAATCTTTCATAGTTTCGTTACTTGTTCCATTCTCGGTTTTCACAAAGTGTGCCTCCATGTACAAATCACAGACAAAGTATGATCGTACGGACGTTTACAGAAACTCGCGGTTCTCTAATCTGTCCACGTCGGGCAGGCCCCTACCGACCAAAACGTTCCAACCCTGACCCACTGCCCAAACAGCCATCCATCCTGCCACAATATGCACGAAGATCGTCAAGCTCGTATAAATGGCACACACCAACCACCTTCCACGAGATCTCGTTCTCCCCAGTGGGTATTTGGGTGACCGTTTCAAACGATATCAAACGAAACAGGGGACCCAAGCGGAGATAGAGAAAGAGAGAACCGAATCAAACCACCATAAAGTATATCTTCCGCCCCCTCCCAGCAAGGGTAGAGAATCCGCACGGCGATGACGACGACGACGACGACGATACCACACATCATATTCAGCTCGAGCCAGCCCTCCGGCGCGGGAGAAATTCCCAGAATATAGATGGACGGAATTTGCATACAAATGTCAATTTAATCGATTAATGATTGAATAATATAGTGTACGCTCCGTAGAGTTCCGAACCAACAACGGACGGAAGAGAAGAAATGGAGCTGATTGCAGTGGGGCGATAAAATGGATATTCGTCTTTTCTTTTCATGGCATGTGCTGCGGGAAGAGAGAGTAAGAGAGAGAGAGGAGGATCCGAACCGAGGGGAAAGAATGCGAGATGATGACGATCGCATGGTGATGATTTGGGGTTCCGCCGTCGGTCGTCGTCCCGTCCCGCTGGTGCCATATCGAAAACGACGGCGTCGACAACGGTTTTGGAAGCCCCTGCTGGTTGGGTTTTTGGAAAATAGAAACTTTACTGCTCTGTTAACAGTGCTACGATTTTAATGAGCCCCTTGATTTGTGGATGTGCTTTGTTGATGAAGGACATTTACGAGTTCGGTGCTTTCGAAACGCGATGGTCTCAATCCTCCCACTTGCACATGGCAAAAATGGGGACAAACTTACCAGCGATGGTTACCAGTTAGTTGTCCGTAATTTTACCAAACCACTTTTTCTCATTCAAATAACTGTGTGACAACACCTCAATCCAAAACCAGTCAGCTCTCCAGCGTCCATCCCAAGTCAAGTTGATCCGTTGAAAGAGCGAGCGACGACGACAGCCAACCGACCACACTAAATTGACTGAGGAATGTAAATTTCATCAGTTCATTTTTCGCCTTCTGTTCGTCTCGGTTACTTTCATCCCATCATCATTACCCTACTCCGCTCCGGCGGCACTCGCTTCGTAACTCTCGGCAGGCCGGTTCCTTCCACTGCCTGGATCGGTAGCCATGGCGACGACAACCGACGACCATCTTTCATTAATTTTTATTTGCTCCCACCGTGCTTCCAACCATGGTCCCGGTTCGCTAAGAGAATAACAAGAAAATGTCAAATTTTCAACCGGAGTGTATGATCTTGAATTCCTTCCCCTTTAATGTCGGTGTCACTCTTCCGTCGAACAAGTAGGGGAGAATGGTATACAACGCACCCCCTGGGCAGAACGCACCAGCTGACTTTCATTTGTGTTTTTCATGGCTTTTACGTAACTTTTTTGTTGTCTTATCAAGCAGCACTTCTAGCATAGCATCTGAACTCAAAATCCTGCACGATAAATCCTAGAATTGGATTAAAAATTCCAAGAAAAACTCAAAATAAACTGAAAAAGTGCGTCTTACCCCGGGGGTGCGTTATGTACTGTTCTCCCCTATACATAAAAGATTCACACATTAATTCAACCGGCGGTGCTAATTTAACCCTTCCTTCACCCCGCGCTTTTGCCACCCCACAATAGGATCGGATTTATGTCCGATGATCAAAACCGAAACATTTTGACACATTGTTTTTTGTGCTGTTTCGGCTTTGCGTGCCATTTTATTTTTTTCGGTGGCTTTCGTTTCGAAGAATGGCGAGGGTAATTGACACTGCTGTCTCTTGTCGTCGTCCTGATGGGTCCCCTCCGGAGGGTAGTTACTTGCACGACATTTTTTTTTTATTGTACACGGGTTCTCCACTCCCATTTGGGCGTTGTTCGTGTGGCCGGGCAGCAAAGGAGGGTCCTCGAGTAATTGCATTTGGTTGGGTAATTTTTGGATGTTTGAGGAACCACAAAAGTTTATTTATCATTATTTAGGGCATACAAGTTTGTGAGCTTTGAAAGCTGGGTAAGTTTTGTACAATTGTAGCATTCGTATATTACAGTGGTGAAGCTGAAGGTTGCTAGTTATTTGTAATGCCTTTACACGATACAATTCATTGCATCAATACCAATATAAGTTTTTAGATCTTGAAATCATATTTTCTTATCTAATCTAATCTAACACCAACACAGCCAGTTCTTGAAAGCATCCTGGAAATGATTGATATACCTCCATTATTTTTCTTGTCTATTTGATATATGTTTCACATTGAAGATGCGGCCTACTGTGCAGCATTTAAGGGGCAAGATGATCTAAAAAACTTCGGGCCTGTTTAAATTGTTTGCATCAATATCCAATAAATTTATGAAAAGTGGACATCTCGTACCGTACGTTCCGTTTTTGGTAATTATATGATTGGTTGGTCGTTGGAAGCATCAAAGCTAGAAAGGTTATGTGATGGTCTATTTTCCTCTGACGGTTGGGACATGGGCAGTAACTCTTGTCCCAGCCTATTGTGGCTTATGTCTATAGTGACATTACTCGCGTTTTGAAAAGAGAAGAGGGAAATGAAAAAAGAAAGGAAAACGAGAAGGACAAATGGAAAAGGATTACAATATACTCTATGAACATTTGATTTAAGAAATACAATATAACAATTTACAACGGGGGTGGTCGCTACCCGAGTCTTCTAAAGAACTAAAATGTGTTCCTTTGATTAATCAAAAATCTCGTTCGCCTAGTTTGAAATTTCGTGGGGTTCTGTGATAGATCTTATACCAGCAACGCATCACAGAAAGTTGATCTACTAGCGTAAGTAGTTTGAAAATATAAAATTAACCAACTCATCCAGTTTATTCAATTGAATCTAAAGGCATGTAGAAGTCCAAATTGCAGACGGTCCGCTTAACGAAGACTTACATGAACTAGTCCGGTTTGTGGTAGAGCTTGCACGGAATTTATTCCTTCGATTTGAGATATAATATGTTGGAATGTAGTCGATTTTTTATGTGCATTGGTCGTGGTCAATAGTCAGGTTCAGTGCTGCGACTCAACGATGAGTCGAATGATGGGAGCATCGGAACAGCTTGTCAGCGTAAAAATGAGATGCTCGCTGAGGAACTACAAATCATATCCTGGGCATGGTTTTGACCAGATCAGCAAGATTAGAAAAAAAAAACCACAAAGGACAGCCCTATGGGGTTGTACGCAATGGTGACGTAGGACTACGTGGTCTTATATGATAAATCTTATTTTTTAACTGCAGTAGGAGCTTGTGTTTTGTGTTGGAATAGGAATTTGAGTGGGGTTCTCTCTGTTTATACTCTTTAGTATGACGCGCTTGACATGGATGGCCCACACCGACTCACAAAGAGCTACTGATTCCGATCAATAGCGGTGCGGCTTCTTCCTCCTTTTATGGATGCTCATGTGGGCTGCAGCTCGCTACTTGCAAGCAGCCTTATGATGTGTACTGGAGAACACCACCACTCACCACGCGGTGATTAAATAATTTAATTGGAATTCATCTATGAAATCTGTGTTAGGGAAATCGCTTTTCGCAGACAATCGGTGATTTAATTATCATAGCAACAGTTCAACATTCGGGCAATTTTCAATATTGAAATTTTGAAAAATGATAAAGTCCTAAATTTAACAGATGCGTAGAAACATTTCTGATCGATTGGTGATAAAATTATTTAAATTGGTTCAGGGGCAGCTGAGTTATTAACGTTCAAATTCTTTCATAATTTTGTTACATGTTCCATTCTTGGTTTTCACAAAGTGTACCCCCATATAGAAATCACAGACGTAGTCCTACTCTCTGAGAAAATTTGCTGTAGCTCCCGTGGAAATACAATACAAAAATAATAACGGGGTCACTAATCGTCCTTCAATCCTTTTCGACTGCTATTCCTCAGGCCATCACCCTTTCTCGTCTCTGCTTTTCTTCGTCTAACTTCTTCAAAACACTATCGACAAAGTGTAAATATCTCCCTCTTCATCTCAGAAAAAAGGTTATTATACTACTCAAACAATTCCGCAGTAAGTTGTGATTTGAGCGTAATTGCTTTTGTAAACAAAAGCGTCAATCACCGATTTCTCACGAATAAAAGCTCAATCTCGTAAACATACTATACCAAATGACAGAGCAATCAATCCTCTACCTGATAGTGTTATTAGTTTTCGATATTGAGGTATTATTCGTGAGAAATCGGCGATTGACTTGTTTGTTTACAAATGTAATTACGCCCAAATCTGAAATCACTTCGTAATTATTCCTTTTCTTCTGTTTATCTCGTTTCCGACTCCGTTTCCGACTCCGTTTCGGACTCCGTTTCCGACTCCGTTTCCGACTCTGTTTCCGACTCCGCTTCCGATTCCGTTTTCGACTCCGATTCCGACTCCGTTTTCGACTGCGTTTCCATCTCCGTTCCCTACTCCGTTTCCGACTCCATTTCCGACTCCATTTCCGACTCCGTTTCCGACTCCGTTTCTGACGCCGTGTCCGGCTCCGTTTGCATCTCCGTTCCAACTCCATTTCCGACTCCATTTCCGACTCTGTTTCCGACTCCATTTCCGACTCTGTTTCCGACTCTGTTTCCGACTCCGTTTCCGACTCCGTTTCCGAATCCGTTTTCCGAATCCGTTTTCCGACTCCGGTTTCCGACTCCGGTTTCCGACTCCGGTTTCCGACTCCGGTTTCCGACTCCGGTTTCCGACTCCGGTTTCCGACTCCGGTTTCCGACTCCGGTTTCCGACTCCGGTTTCCGACTCTGGTTTCCGACTCCGGTTTCCGACTCCGGTTTTCGACTCCGTTCCCTGCTGCGATTCCGACTCCGTTTTCGACTCCATTTCCAACTCCGATTCCGGCTCCATTTCCAACTCCGATTCCGACTCCGGTTTCCGACTCCGTTTGCGACTCCGTTTGCGACTCCATTTGCGACTTCGTTTGCGATTCCGTTTGCGACTCCGTTTGCGACTCCGTTTGCGACTCCGTTTGCGACTCCGTTTCCAATTCCGTTTCCAATTCCGTTTATGACTCCGTTTCCAACTCCGTTTCCAACTCCGTTTCCAACTCCGTTTCCAACTCCGTTTCCAACTCCGTTTCCAACTCCGTTTCCAACTCCGTTTCCAACTCCGTTTCCAACTCCGTTTCCAACTCCGTTTCCAACTCCGTTTCCAACTCCGTTTCCAACTCCGTTTCCAACTCCGTTTCCAACTCCGTTTCCAACTCCGTTTCCAACTCCGTTTCCAACTCAGTTTCCAACTCCGTTTTCGACTCAATTTTCGACTCCGTTTCCGACTCCGTTTCCGACTCCATTTCCGACTCCGTTTCTGACTCCATTTACGACTCCGTTTCCGACTCCGTTTCCGACTCCGTTTTCAACTCCGATTCCGGCTCCGTTTCTGACTCCGTTTCCGACTCCGTTTCCGACTCCGGTTTCCGACTCCGTTTCCGACTCCGTTTCCGACTCCGTTTCCGACTCCGTTTCCGACTCCGTTTCCGACTCCGTTTCCGACTCCGTTTCCGACTCCGTTTCCGACTCCGTTTCCGACTCCGTTTCCGACTCCGTTTCCGACTCCGTTTCCGACTCCGTTTCCGACTCCGTTTCCGACTCCGTTTCCGACTCCGTTTCCGACTCCGTTTCCGACTCCGTTTCCGACTCCGTTTCCGACTCCGTTTCCGACTCCGTTTCCGACTCCGTTTCCGACTCCGTTTCCGACTCCGTTTCCGACTCCGTTTCCGACTCCGTTTCCGACTCCGTTTCCGACTCCGTTTCCGACTCCGTTTCCGACTCCGTTTCCGACTCCATTTCCGACTCCGTTTTCGACTCAATTTTCCACTCCGATTCCGACTCCGGTTCCGACTCCGGTTCCGACTCCGATTAAGACTCCGTTTCCGACTCCGTTTCCGACTCCGTTTTCGACTCAATTTTCGACTCCGATTCCGACTCCGATTCCGACTCCGATTCCGTCTCCAATTACGACTCAGATTTCGACTCAGATTCTGACTCAGATTCCGACTCCGTTCGGATCATTTTCAAATATCGCAGAATTCTCATTAAACATCTTTTGTTTTGACTCCGTTTCCGACTCCGTTTCCGACTCCGTTTCCGACTCCGTTTCCGACTCCGTTTCCGACTCCGTTTCCGACTCCGTTTCCGACTCCGTTTCCGACTCCGTTTCCGACTCCGTTTCCGACTCCGTTTCCGACTCCGTTTCCGACTCCATTTCCGACTCCGTTTTCGACTCAATTTTCGACTCCGATTCCGACTCCGGTTCCGACTCCGATTAAGACTCCGTTTCTGACTCCGTTTTCGACTCCGTTTTCGACTCAATTTTCGACTCCGATTCCGACTCCGATTCCGACTCCAATTACGACTCAGATTTCGACTCAGATTCTGACTCAGATTCCGACTCCGTTCGGATCATTTTCAAATATCGCAGAATTCTCATTAAACATCTTTTGTTTTGACTCCGATTCCGACTCCGTTTCCGACACCGTTTCTGACTCCGTTTCTGCCTCCGTTTCCGACTCCGTTTCCGACTCCGTTTCCGACTCCGTTTCCGACTCCGTTTCCGACTCCGTTTCCGACTCCGTTTCCGACTCCGTTTCCGACTCCGTTTCCGACTCCGTTTCCGACTCCGTTTCCGACTCCGTTTCCGACTCCGTTTCCGACTCCGTTTCCGACTCCGTTTCCGACTCCGTTTCCGACTCCGTTTCCGACTCCGTTTCCGACTCCGTTTCCGACTCCGTTTCCGACTCCGTTTCCGACTCCGTTTCCGACTCCGTTTCCGACTCCGTTTCCGACTCCGTTTCCGACTCCGTTTCCGACTCCGTTCGGATCATTTTCAAATATCACAGAATTCTCATTAAACATCTTTTGCAAATCTCTTCCGAATTAATTTTAAATTAGCATAGGAGTTCTCTGCTAAGAATTTCCGTTGAACCCTTCTTAAAATTCCATTGCAAGTTTTAAGACAATAAGATTAATTTGAAATTCTTCTCAAAATTTACTTTGAACTTTTAATTCTCTTCAGATATTCTTCGGAATTCTCCCCAGCAATGACTTGGATTTCTCTTTTGTTTTTATTTAAACTTTTCTCTTAAATTGTTCTGATTTGTTTTGAATTATCCAAAGAAAATCCTTTGATATTTTTCTTGGAATTCTTTTGAAATTCCTTGCCGAATCTTCCTCAGTACTTCCATTAAGTTATCCTCAATAAACCGTTTAAATTCTGCATGTAATACTTCTTGAATTCTGATCAGATTTCTTGAAATTCTCCTTAAACTTTACCTGCTAATATCCTCGCGATTTCATAAAATTCTCCACCGAATCACCTAGGAATTCAATGCACAACTCCTTTATTCTCCCTTGGACTCCTTTATAATTTTCCACGTTCTCTTTAGAAAGCCTGCTGAGCGTTTCTTTGGAATAAAAGAGCACTTTTATAATCACCCTAAAAATTGTTCGACAGAATTCTTTAGAAAAAGTCTTTCAGTTTTCATAAAACTGGAAAATCCTCCAAGTCACAGAGTATTGAAAATTTTTCAGGGCAAAATCTTAAATCTTGAATTTTTTTCAAAATTCATAATTTTGAATATTTTTTTTCTGATGAGACTGATGAAAAAAATCGAATTCTGTGTTTTTTATATAAATCTAGGATCATGAAATTTTTTATTTTTTATGACTCCATTAATCCGACTCAACGACTCCGGCTCCACGACTCCGGTTCCACGACTCCGACTCCACGACTCCGACTCTAAAACTCCGACTCCATGACTCTGACTCCATGACTCTGACTCCATGACTCTGACTCCATGACTCTGACTCCATGACTCTGACTCCATGACTCTGACTCCACAACTCCGACTACACGTCTCTGACTCCACGAGTCTGACTCCACGACTCTAACTACACGACTCTGACTACACGACTCTGACTCCACGATTCCAACTCCACGACTCCGACTTTACGACTCCAGCTCCACGACTCCAGCTCCACGACTCCAGCTCCACGACTCCAGCTCCACGACTCCGGCTCTACGACTCCGACTTCATGACTCTGACTATACGACTCTGACTACACGACTCGGACTCCACGACTCCGACTCCATGACTCCGACTCCATGACTCCGACTCCACGATTCCGACTCCACGATTCCAACTCCACGACTCCGACTCCACGACTTCGACTCCACGACTTCGACTGCACGAATCCGACTCCACGACACCAACTCTACGCCTCCTACTCCATTACTCCGACTCCACGACTACAGCTCTACGACTCCTACTCCATGGCTCTGACTCCACAACTCTCACTACACGACTCTGACTCCACGACTCTGACTCCACGACTCTGACTCCACGACTCTGACTCCACGACTCTGACTCCACGACTCCGACTACACGACTCTGACTACACGACTCTGACTCCACGACTCTGACTCCACGACTCTGATTCCACGATTCCAACTCCACGACTCCGACTTTACGACTCCAGCTCCACGACTCTGACTCCACGACTCTGACTCCACGACACCGACTCCACGATTCCGACTCCACGACTCTGACTCCACGATTCCAACTCCACGACTCCGACTCCACGACTTCGACTGCACGACTCCGACTGCACGACTCCGACTGCACGACTCCGACTGCACGACTCCGGCTCCACGACTCCTACTCCATTACTCCGACTCCACAGCCCTGCTTATGAGGGAAATCAATAGAAACATCCAGGCAAAGTTTGAAGAAGCTTCCTGAATAATTCGGAAGAAACAAGCTGCGGGGGGAAATCAGATTAAATTTCCTAGAGTCCTAGAGGATTCCGAAAAACCTCCGGGGTCAAAAGAAACTTAAGAGGATAGTTTGAAAAAAAAAAAATCAATGAGAAGTCGAAAGGATCATCGGGTGCAGTTTGGAATAATTTATCCGATTTCAATTTGGTCGATATTTCTTTCTAAAGAAGAATTGAATAAAAATCAATTACCTTTCTGGTCACTTCTTAAAAAATATTTTCCTATTCCCATGAATGCACGGGTAAAGCTATCAGCTGTTTCCCGATTCCAGCGTAGCAAAAAATGGTCGACAAATCAACAGTAACTAAATTGTGCATTGCTTCGTCAGAATATATTAAAAAGGAAGCAAACCGCCAATTCCCCCAAGGCCTGCGAATTGTCCAATGAGATTCTTTGACACTTAACTTGGAGTTGTTTGGAATTTTGGCAAAAATTCTTCTCTAAATGCAATTGAAGTCAGCAGTCGGTGATTATCCAAACAACCGCATTCTGTTTGGCAGCACCTGCTTGGAAAAGCACTACACCGACGTCGGAATTGCCGAGAATCTCGAGACAAGTCTCTTGCAATCATCCAAGAATTTCCCCCAACAAAGAATGCTCTCCAGAGGCATCTCTTTGTCTAACTCGTTCCGCTACCACTTGAAGCATGCTCCCTTCCCTGCGCCCCCCACCCTGGAAGAAGCCACGTGGCACACTCATCCATCCCGCTGAAGTGGGCTACTTGTTGAACGAGAAAGTCACGCACCTGCTCCACCACCGCGGAGTGCGTCCGATTGCTCACTTACTCACTCACTCGATCGCTCGCTCGCTCTCCAGCTCGCTCCAGAGTGGGAGTGTGAGTGGGGCTGGGATGGAAATAATCGAACGGGGAATTTTGTAATTAAAACGAACAAAGTATGCAAAAAATGCTGTTCTCATAATCGTTTATGAGCGCTAGGGGTGCGGGTACAGAGGGGGCACAGGAGAATCAGAAAGAAACACACATGAAGCAACAGCAGCTGGCAAATGGGAATGTGAAGAGAAACGCTAAAAATATGACGATAAGAAACAGAAAACGCACGCAACCGTCGTCGTCGTCGTCGTCGTCGCCGTCGGTCGCTGGGTGTTTCTCGTTCAGGAGGTGTGGCGTGTTGACCGTTGATTGGGGGATTTCTGCTGCATGCGTCGTATGCCAACTCCATTCCGGCTGGCTGGGTTGTCCGAGAAGCCGCGGCCATTCGTCGGTCGAGTTGGTCTTTATTAGCAGTGGTATTTCTGGCTTCTGGCTGGCTGACTGGCTGCGGTGGTGAATGACGATGATGATGATGATGATGATGATGATGATGATACCATGACATGACGGGGGGAAACGATGGACACGGGACGAACCTGTTGGGAATGACCCTGGTCAAGGAGAGAGAGATTTCCTGATAAGAGCAAAGATGGACGCATGTGGATTCAGGAGGGGGAGAGTTTGTGCATTGCTTAGTTGGCGAAATGACTCCATTTGGGACCCAAATCAACAAGTCTCATGTCCATCTCGATCAAGGTCGCCCAAAGTTGATTGCACTCCTGCTTCTACCCCATGGTTTCTGTAGTCCGGTTCGTCCATTCATGTCGCCAACCTAGTTTACGATCTGGGAAAATGCACTGAACCAAAGCCCAATTGCGCCGCTCGGTTTTACTGCTGCCGTTTGCCGCTGTCGAACAATTAAATTTAATATAAATTTTCAATTTGATTACCCGCCGCCACCCCCTGCACCAAAAACCGTTTGATCATCCAACAGGACGGAAGCGAAGACCCTTTTGCCACCGCGCAGGTCCAGGCGCCTCGTTTTTGGCATTTCCTTTATTGCGCTTCTTTCGCGGGTAATTAATTTATAATGCTTCTAATTAAGAACTACACTACACGAACACGAACTGCAGCACTTGTTTCCACGAACAACGACGCTGGACACACCGCCGAACAATGGCACATTAGAGCTCTACCCCGTGGTGATACAGTTGGCCGTTTAACATTCGGATGCGAATT